CCGGGAAGATTTCTAGATGATGATACGCAGCTTTTAAATCAATTGTAAACAAAATACCGCCCTGTTGGAAAAGGAACCTGGCGATGTTAGCGTCTTCATACTTATACCTGAACTTATGCAAGAATACATTTATATGTCTACAATCCAAAACTAGACGTGGATTTCCCGACTTAGTGAAAGCAACCGTAAGTGGATTAACCACGTTAGGTTTGCTACCAACCTGTCAACTTAGTTTGCAACTTCTCTCTCGCAGACCTGTTGTTCATCAAAAATACATCTGGGGGAATTTCTCTGAATGGTATCTTATAACCTTCGGAAATTATTGTCAAAACGGCACTACAAGCCCCAGATTTCTCCCAGTAACTCATCCTACCTCTGAGCCTTCCGACAGGTGATATAGTATTGTCAGCTTCCTTTACCCCCGCATCGCCGGTATTACATGACAAAACCACATGTTTTTGCACCTCCGCTGGAGAGGTTTTTGCTACGACGGACTCAACATGCTGAGAAACCAAGTTTATAATTAACATGCTGCCTACAGCACCACCACTCGGTCCCACACCGGCACTCTCCGGACATTCTGTGCGCCAGTGCCCCGGTCTCTCGCACTTCCCTGGTCTGTAAGTATAACTCTTGGGAGCATCCCTCGGTCCCGCTGTGTATCCAGCCTCCTGTTGGTGATTGGCACGGTTCTGCTGGTATTTGTCGTACGGCGAGTATCTCTTGGATAACCTGCCTCTCCCTCTGGACTTTTCAGCAACTGCCATCTTCCTATTAGCCCGGGCGCGGGCTCTGTCTATCCGCTTCTCGTCCTCGGAGTCGGAAGCAATATGATTAGCTTGATATTCCTCGGCCGCCTTACATCCCGACTCGGAAGTGTCGGCCAATAATATTATTTTTTGTCTATAGTCAAGCATATTAATACCTTCTAAGATTTTGGACCTCGCCTCCTCTCCGTCCTTGAGAACACTTTGTTCCACTTCCACCATTTTGGCTTTAATTTTCTGATTAAATTTGTACTGGTCCTCACAAGCTTTCCATGAAAACTTATGTGTCGCTTTACACAACATGTCTTGCTGGAATTTAGCATACTGGTTCGCCGAAATTTCTTTCTGAGCTGTAGACATGTTTTCCTGAAATGTACTCAACCTATCGGAAATTAGAGAGTCCTTGGCAGTCCTTCAATGCACACTATATCTGTTCCCGTATCGCAACGTTGATAGAAGGATCCATCGTGAAAAGAAAAAAATCTGTCCGCACTCTACGGTACACGGCTAGAGAATTATGGAAGGGGATCACCGCCATAATTATTTTTTATAAGATTAGTTACTTCTGGTTTGGAATCTAGTTGATAAGTGTCAATTTTCCATGCTATGTACATTTGTGTTGTTTCACTAGTTTACAAATCTATTGCGTGTTCATTCCATGCTATGCCACTTTCAATTCCATGCTATGCTAGTTTTACCGATCGCGATTTCGTGTTAACTTGTAGTATCTAATCCATTCCAGACACGTGATGTATATAATCAGTAAATTCTATCGGTTGATTTGATGCTTTCGTCATTTGTGTAAAAACAGAAATTCGAAACTAACTTTTTATTCAGAAATAGCTAAATAGTAAACTAATAACCTAGCACATGGAGTACGAGAGGTTTCCTCATTATTACGACAAGCGGCGCTGCGATCGTCTTAAATATACACGGACCGCTCCCCAACCGCATCCGGATCACCGTACGGACGCAATGTCATTATTTGTTTACGTTTTGACCATTGTATTTTTAAGGTTCTTATATTCATTACTGCATAAATTAAATATATCTTCAAGAACATATTAATGATGCCGTCAATATTGATGTAGACTGGGACAGTGCGAGAATACACTTTAAGGGCCTGCACAAGAAGAACTTGCTCAAGACCAGAAAATGATCACATAAACTAAATGCGAGTCTAATCTTGACAGAGCGTAGAGCTTGTCTTCCCCACTCAAATACACACATTTAAAAAAGTGAAAAAATAAGCAAAAGGAATTGTATCATAAGATAATGCATTCATACATCTATGTAGGTAAAATGTTGTTGTAACTTAACAATCTCTTACCCCCTATGGCAATCTCACCCCACCACCACCCCAATTATAATTCTTTATCACCTGTACTGCGCATGTCTTATTCTTACATATACAATTTAGCTTAAGTTTGGAGAAGAGTTTGAAGTGGCTTTTGAGGCAAGATTACGATAGGTCAAAGATAAGAGAAGAATATGAACCAACTTCCTCCACCTAACAAGTTATTTTTAGAGCCAGTCAGAGTAAACCATTATGTGTTTTTGTCCATACACATGAAACAGGAGTTTTTTAATAGGAATTTTCAATTGAAACAAAATCAAACATACTTTCAAACCCAACAAAAACGTGCTGTCATCAATATCCACTGCTTCATAGACAAGTCCGTAGAACAGATGTCCACGACAAAATTTAGTAAATTCACAGACTTAATCTGTGGTAAATTATACAATTATGAATGGTTATATATTTCTAACAGAATAATTCAAATTAAATAAATAACCTTTAATTGCTCTAATACAATGACAAGTATATTTAGTTTGCAACACTGAACATTATTTTAAAGTTAATATCTATGCAGCATTTATAATTACCCAGATATGCAATTCCCTTTTAAGGTAAAAGGTTATTTATATTTAAAATAAAAGGAAGGCACCGAAGTGATTAATGAAAGGTCAGATTAAGCATCCTCATCATGAGTAGAGCAACCCTACCTGCATATTAATTTAAGTACATGTATTACCCATATAATAGCTTTTGTTACAAAGATATGGACTTAAACAACTTTTCTTAATTAGCACTGACGACAATGTAGAAGGAAGTGACTGGAGTCTAAAATGTAAGTCGAATTCAGCATCTACACACATTAATTAGAGTGTCCCTATAGCTACATTGATGCCTACATTATGCATGTATTACCTAGATGTACCCAGAAATGGACCCAACACATTTTTTCTTAATGGGAATGGAGGCCGAGGTATTCATCCTCTGCAGACTTCGTGGAGTAGGGGCTGGGAATAATAAATGGTACTTGTGAGCAGAGACGTATACGTTTCTGTTGTGAGGCAAACGTACAAAGATGAAGATAAATAACGACATACATATTTACATCAGTCAATGATTTAATTTCATAAAAATAATATCAATATACATAAAGTTAATAAAACAATCACTACGACAAAGTTATCAACAAGTATGCTGGCATTACATATATCTACATACATGTTCATATATTTGATTTTAAACAAAGTAATGCAAAGGAATACTGAATAAAATATAATCATCATGAAATATCATGACTCAAGACCAGTTTTTAAGAAACTGATGCCTGTTTTTGACACCGGTGACCTTTCAAACATTGTGAAACATGATACATTTTTATATGCACTACCTCCATTGTTCAGGAAATGCCTCTTCACTGTAGGAGTTATTCAGAGTATCAAGGAAGTAGACGGTCTGCTGTCAAAAAACCAGTGATCAGTATATCACTTCATGCTGACCGAACCAGACCTACAGCAATTATGTCATTGAGATTTCAGTAATATTTGCTAAATGTTGTACAAAATGCACATGATTTTTTTTATAACGACTTAGAACAAGTATTTCCAATTAACTTTAATTAAAAAATATGTTTGATAATTGGTCAGCAATATCGACATCCAATATCACTCAATAACCACTGGTCCCATGAACTATAGCTATAGAAAGAGGCATACTTGTTTGAATCTGATGTCATCACGATCTAATAACAGTAGAACATTTAAATCTTGATTTTTATGCTAATTTCAGGCTGTTAGTTTTAATTAGCTGATCACTGTATGCTGTTCTGAATATATATAAATTTGCATCCACTTCTCAAATTTATCAAAATTGATTATGAAGCGCGAACAGGAAATAAATGTAAATAAAATGGCTCAAAGGTATTTGAAATTCTTACTGTAAATATTGAGATAAAAATCATGTAAAATATAAGGGTATGGCTACTTTTTTTGAAGTAACGTTATTATACTCAATTTACAGTCAGAATATCAAACACTTGTGATTGGATACTTGATATCAAAGTTTTACTTTCTACACAACGTATTAAACGTGTCGCAACCTTCCAAGACCGACTTGTCCCTTTGTCAAGCTATGACAGCACCAACATCAGTTCTGTATTTCAGACATGCATTTGTAACGAGGGTAAACATTTTGCCAGTTACCAAATACTTATGTGGGATTTCTGGCTACCACATCCTAACTATAAATATGACGATTTCTGCTACGCTACAAACAGTTTTGGCTCAAACCTAAATATAATACAGTTCAATTGCTGTCATAACCAAGACTTACCGCACTGTCGACTGCATTTTCCAAAATCAACTGCCACAATCGGGTATGCTTCCAGTTTAAAGGAGCGTGCATTATTTTCCGCGAATTTTGCTGGCGATTTAAGCGACGGCTGTTGTCTTAATGAGAACTAAAATTCCAGAATGAATTCCTCATTAAGACGACAAGCGGCGCTCCATCATCAACGTTAGTTTCGAGCTTTTATTATGTAATTGTTTTTATTTTTAAACACAGAGTGAAGTGAATTCTAAGCTAACACAAAGTCGCGATCAGTAAAACTAGCATAGCATGGAATGAACAGTGGCATAGCATGGAATGAACACGCAACAGATTTAGATTCCAAACCAGAAGGAACTAATTTTATAAAAAATAATTATAGCGCTGATCCCCTTCCATAGATAATGACCCAACTACTCTTTAGCCACGTGTACCCGGCTATACTCAACAGCACGTGCTGCTTGCTTCCTCGTGCCGATCAGACAAATAAATCCCGCCTTTTCTTTCAGAACTGCGGGATTATTTGATTATCTTCTGTGTGTACGTCGAAGATCCGCTTGGCTATCACGCTGAAATATGTGTGTACTCGGAAATTTGAGTTCCTGGAGTCATGAGTTAATGATATTTTATTTTCTGTATCCCATCACATATAGAATTTATTCAGCGAAGGGAAATATGGATCGATGTTAAAGATACATATGTAGGTTTTAAAACACTAATAAACGCAACATATGTTACACGTAATACAAGCCACTGCCGTCAGCCACTGATACAATTTACCGTGAACTAGTCGTACATGATCGCCCCCGGTACACGAACCGTGAATGGCGATATTTAAACTGTCGGTATACGTATAATACAAGTACACCCTACATTTAGCCTACACGTAAACAAAGCCACCATGTTGTAAAAGTCTTCACGGAAATAGTGTAAGGTAGACCAACGACTTTGTGAAGTTTTGGTTGGACGTACGAGTGCAGAGCGGAGGATACACCGAGTTGTAAGTATACACAGACACACATATGTATTAGTACTTGTTATTCATGGTACAAAATGTGGGTAAATGTTGAAATAAATCGTCAGATTTGACGTATCAAATACATAATAAAACCGGAACAGCTGTCGTAACCCCCCCCCCCCCCCCCCCCCCCCCGAGATCTGTACAAGTGTTATCGATCGCTATCAATTGTCAATATACCATACAATGGACGAACAGTAGGTAGGACGAGTTGGTATAGCGTATATGTTGTTCTCCGAGCACCTTACCCCCGGGTAGGAACAGAGAGGTTTATGCTTTTTCTAAAGAGCCCCAATCCCCCACCCCAACTTTTAACCCGCCTCCACGCCATCGTTTCGTTAGAAATTTCCTTCCAAAGTTTTGTGTATAATTTTGGGAGGTATCCTCTTTCTATAACACCGGAATTTGTACATGTCCCGGACCCCCGGACACCGAGCCTCATTTTAAAGAGCACGTGTCCTCCGACCCCTCCTCATACTAACCCCAACCCCACCAGTTACAGAACAGTCTATGAACATTGTGTACACTAGGGACCGATACACCAGCTGTAGTGAAAGTCTGGTGTAAATACAATGCAACCGTGACCTTCTTTGTCGTCGGTTAATGTCAGGGAACCGTCCCTCGGAGTCATTGTCATTTATTACTCACGACACACTGAGTACATAGGATAGTGTGTAACACACTGTAGGAAACAGTTTGATATCGAGATCAATAGGTAAATGGCCAAGTGATACAACAACATGTAATTTTACATATTTCACGATGTATACACCCTTTCTGAATTATCAATCGTTAAACTGAAATAAGTATTATACTTATACTTTCATTGTTTAGTTTAAAACTACACCCGCGAGATCATATAACATGTAAACTAACACATATACTGTAGTTAGTATAAGGCTAGGTAGATAGTGAGGCAAAACTTGAAAAGCAACAATATTTCTGTGTCTTATGTCTTGTTCCGGAGAATATATCAGAATTGGGATGTCCTAACATTTCTTTATTCTGTTATATGTGGATGTGCAATAGTTTTTTAATGTTACTAAGGTCAAGGTTAATGCCATTGTTGCTAGGAAAGGGGGGTGGGGGTCCTCTCAAAATAAAAAGTATTGATCTTTCTAACCCACCAATGTTTATTTCGGTGGTAAATAATAGTTTGTTTATATCATAAATCATACCCAGGGGCCAGAGGGGTTAAGTGAGCACCCCCCTGCTGTCAGAAGGTGGCCTCATTTTTTCATAAGTATGGACCTTCTAGAACATATTTTAGCTGGCCACCCCTCTGGGAAATCAACTGGGGATTTTTTGTGTGGGGTCATATATAACCTTAACTTCGCAAAAAATGTGATTTTGAATGAAGGGGATAGGGGTCCAGAAAGTGCTATATCATTTCTCATCATCATCATATGAATAATTAGATGGTATATATAGATCATGTATGCATCACTTAAAATGTTGGTATATAAAGTTTACAGTTTGACCTCCACTCTAGAGATCAAATGTCAAATAACAGCAAAAAGTATCGTTTTTTCCCCCAAACCACTCTTTATTGTTTATTGTCATTTCAAAAAATACAGAAATTGATCAAATAACTTGTTTTATATGTGCCATGGGTAACATATCATTATTTTGTAGACCTATTTCCTTGTAGTTCAGTGAGGGAAACAAAAGGTAGCCACTGTGTTATGTATATTGTTATATAGAATGGAATTATAGATTCTGGGGGTAGGGGTGCAGAAATGGGTGTAACTTATGTTATAGTCATTCTTCCCATTAATGGATGGTAGTTATATGTTGAGTATGCATTGGCCATACTTTCTAAAGTTATACATTTTTGTTTGACGCTACTGCCAAGGTCATATCAAGGTCAAAGTTCAAAATTCAAAAGTCAAACATGAGAATCTAATTTTTGTTTAATATTATTGACCAAAAAAGATTGTTCCTAATACAAACCATTTAAGCATGTTTTAGCTGATCTCATTGAAAGAATAAACACTGGTGGGTTAGAAAGATTAATTCTCTTATATGTGGATGTGCAATAGTTTTTTTAATGTTACTAAGGTCAAGGTTAATGTCATTGTTGCTAGAAATGGGGGGTGGATGTCCTCTCAAAATAAAAAGTATTGATCTTTTAAACGCACCAGTGTTTATTTTATTTCGGTGGTAAATAATAGTTTATTTATATCATTATATCATAAATGGCTCGTGCCATATATAAATGGGGTCCCAAAATCCAAGAAAGCCCCCAATCAAAGTCAAGGTCACGGATGTTAAAATAGAACAGGATTGGTATCATATCAAGATAACGCGTTGTTTTCCATTCTGGTTCGTCAGTGTTTGGTTTGATTGTAAAACATGTATTGGATTTGATATCTGACTTTAATAACGCTAATGATTCTTTGATTTCGAAATGCAGTATAGCCGCGGTCGTCCTTGTTTCTCAAAGGTCGAGATATACATGTTTGTTATAGTAATAAGATTTCGTTCAAACTTGGTAGTAAATGGTAATTAATTGATAATTAAAGAACATATATTATCAGGATCGCATAAAACAAAATGGCCACCATCACTTCTGATTTGTCGAGATCTTACGGGTTAGGACTTCCGTTCTGGTAGTCTCATTTTGTCTGTATTTGGTGGTTTGTGTTGTTTTGTGGGATTTTGTATACGTGTTTAACGTTTGATTTACACCATTCCTAGATGATCTCTGTTGTGCAGACTTTTGTTTGGCGACTATGGGTAATATACGGGGCCCTTACCGACCTGTCAGAATTCAAATATTTTACTACTTATGTATTTAACGAAGAGGTGTATTAGGAATGAAAGTCAAATTCTGGATTACCTGAACACTTTATCGCGTGATATATATTTCACGAGCTATGACGTCACGCGGTACGATGGCGTAAGGTAATTGTACTCTAATGTGGCTTAACTCATTTCTATCAATTTATGAAAATATGTATCTGGTCTAATGTTTGGTTGACAAATTCCCGAAAAAGGTACATGTAATATTAGGAGTTCGAGGAAGGCTGTTATCAATTTTGAAAGTCATGTATAAAAAAGTTAAGACATGTGTCTCATCTAAGGGAAGATGTTCCGATTTTTTTGCAAACAACATGGGTCTCGCCCAAGGGGAATTTTTATCCCCAATTATGTTTTCAATGTATGTAAATGACTTTGAAAATGACTTTATTGCTAACGGTGTTAAACCGTATGATTTTGGAGAACTCAGTCTCTTTTTATTAATGTATGCGGATGATTTGGTGCTACTTGCAGAATCAGCCAATGAGCTACAGAATATGTTAAATAGTTTGTCTATATATGCGAACTCATGGAAATTGACCGTTAATACGGCAAAAACTAAGATTGTTGTCTTTAGAAATGGAGGCCGCTTACGAAATAACGAGGAATGGTTCTTCGATAGA